AAAAACAAAAACAAAAATGTCAGCCCTGATCTGGAATTTGATTCCAGTTCAAATACCCTTTTGGTTTCCATATTAACCACATTCCAACTGTTTCCAACAAAAGGTCACAAGATTTACACATCCCTGGTGTTTGTTAGGCAGGATGCTGTTAATCTTAGCTTACTCACAGTTTCTTTTATCTATTGGTTCCTCTAGATAAAAGACTTATTTCTCTTATGGTTTTATGGTTAACTAAAAGGGAGAGATGAGGAGTGAGTTCATCTAAAGTTTAGGTGATCCTTGAAATGGAGGTGCAAAAAGAAAATGGAGTCTCTCTTGCCCTATCATTCCCCTCTCAAGGACATATTTTCCTTTCTTAGGACATATATAGTCCTTCATATGACGGTGTCCTACTTTCTGTATCCTATTCTGTGGCCTCCTTGAGAAGCATCATTTGTACTTGATCTTCTGTGGTCTATAATCTAGTTTTTATCCTTCTTATAAGACAAGTCCAAAAGTTAGAAGGGCCATTATTATTAGAACAGGCCCAGCTAAACTAGTAATCAGAGAAGTCAATCAAAGATTCCAATGAAATAGTTATTTGTACCATCCCTGGTTGTTAATATGTTTTTTTCTCTTTCTTTTCCTTCTCTGTCTAACTTGTCAAGTGTTTCTATGATAATTTCTAAACTGTTTGCATAGAAACAGCATTCTTCTCTCAGGGCAGCCCAAAGCCCCCCTTGTTCCATAAAAAGCAAGTTGAGTCCTCTTCTATTCTGTAATACCACTTCTAGGGAATTAAATTGGTCATGTAGTTGTCTGACCACATTTCAAACCCTGCCACACTTTGTTCTATACTGTGAGTCAATCTAGTAAGCTTTTGGAAACCCATTTCCAAGTGTGCTACAGCACCAGAACCTAACCTGAGGAACCCTGCTATGCTTATCCCAGGCAGTGTTGGTAAAAGCACAATGTCTCATCTTGATTATGTCTGTTAGTTTGGGAACTGATGCCAGATTTTTGGGCACCCTTGTAGAGTTGTTACACAGAGGATAAGCATAACCAAAATGCAGGGGCCAGTCTGTATGAATTTCTGTCTGTAGTCAAGACACTTAAATAACCCGTTAGTACAGAATAACCAGGATCCCTGTGGTGCCCTGTAAGTTTAGTTTTGCGGCACAGTTTGGTACAAGCAACCTGATGTGTCCTTCCCCCACACAAACTCCTGGTCCATAAACAGTTTCAACCATAAAAAGGGGAAGTGGTTTTTCCTCCTCTGGGGGTGCAGAACCACTAGAGGTCGGTCTGCCCTCTGAAGCGAAGGCCCCAGAGCTCAGACCCCTCCTACCAGCTGGTCCAACAGGGATAAAGCCGTCCAGGGCATACTCTGCCCTCTCCCTCTGGCCAGACCATTGTCTCCAAGGACGAACCCTGCGTAATCATGACTATAGAGGAAAAAGTAAACAGCCTATTGCTGGACACTGGTGCTAGTCTCTTGGTCCTTCTTTTCAATCCTGGCCTTCCAGCCATCACACCTAGTGAAAGGAGTCACTGATGAGAAGGTAATCCGCTGTGTTTTATAACCCTTAGGTTGTAACTACTTGTTAGATCTTTCTTGCATATCTGTTTTCCTGAGAAACCACTTTGAGGATACCAACATGTATTACAGCAGCCATTGATAATTTCCTACCAATCTGTCCATAACTCTGTAATGTTGTATTGTTCCTATGCTATTTTGTAAATGGATGTATGTTTATTACTATGTGTTTCCAACAATAACCATTGAGAAAAGTCAACGATTATTTAACTGATCACTCATGTATAGCTCTATTTTCTCTAGAAACCATTTTGAAGAAATCAAAGTATAGTACAACAACCATTGATAATTTCCTACCATTTTTGTCTATAACTCACTATTATTTGTCTGTTATCCTGAGAAACTATCTTGAAGATACCAATAGGTAAAATAACAACCATTAATAATGTCCTACCACTTTGTCTATAATTTAGTAAATCCCCCTACTACTATGTTATCTGTCTTTTACCCTTTAAAATAAAAAAAAAAAGAAAATGTGGTCTTTATACAGTGTAGTACTACCCAACCATAAAGATTAATAAATTTGATTCATTTATAGGAAAATGGATATACTTTGTGACTATGTTAAGTGAAATAAATCAGATACATGAACTTAAATATCAAATGATTTCTCTTATATGAGAAACCCAAATTATAAATAAATTAAAGAACAACATTAAGGCTAGGTAGTATAAAACAGATAGATGGATCTTTTGTAAAAGGGAACACACCAAGGGCAGAGGTAGAAGAGGAGAAGATGAAAAAAGAATTATGATTTGTTATGTACATGTACCAACTCTCCACAGTGAGTGTAATCATTATATACTGCAAACTTGTACTAATAAAAATATAACAATAAATTTTAAAAAGTTCCTTACCAAGAGAGATTCTCCCTAAAGTTACAACAACAACAAAAAACTACCTCAATAACATTCTTTTCTTCTACTGAATGATTCTGATTTTTCTCCTTTAGTTTTGGTACTATTGGGTGATTATACAATAGTTCAAATGAAAGTGTGATAAAATTATAATTTGTAGGATATTTTACAACTATAGATTGTTTATATGTGAATTTCACAAATTCATTGGTTTTATCATCATGTAATCATGCAATCAATCCTGTAATTGTAGTTTTTTGGGAGTTGTTAATATTTCACTAAGATAATCCAGAAACACTGCATTAATTTTTTGAATTCTGAAATATTTTTTCTCCTTTAGATTGCTTTTAAGTGTTTATGCAACAGCTTACATAGAAATGTAGGATTATAATTCTTAAGATTATGTTTTATAAATGTACATTATAAAATTAGTACTCATATAATAAACTTTCTATATTGTTTGATTTCTGCATGGTGACGATATATTACTTTCGCAAAGTCTTTGTGTTGCTCTAGAAACACAGCAGTTTTTGCTATTCTGAAGCCACACGTGGTGGCCCACACCTGTAATCCCAGCACTAGGGCAGCTGAATCAGGAGAATCACCACAAATTCAATGCCTGCCTGGACTGACTGCATAATGAGTTCAAGCCCAATCTGAACTATGTAGCAAGGCCCTGTCTCAGAGAACAAAAATAATAAAATAAAATAATTCGGATTTTTTTCCCATTTAGTTCCACTACTGCACTTAAGGGTTTATGTAAATGCTCAAACAGAAGCTAAGAAAAATTGTAATTCTTAAGAATTCAGTTTACTTAGAAGTTAATTTCTTGAGTCAATTTTCTTTTTTTTTTCCCTATAATTTCTGGTCAGTTTAGGGTAATATTTCAATTTTTGCCGTTTCCCAAGACATCATGACATGAATAGAAATTCATGTTTCAGATGAACAACCCTGCCCCTGGAGACATTTAGTAGGGGAGACAAAATTTTACCTCTGTCCTCGAGTTTTGTTTTTTTTTCCAGTTGGATCTGAAAAGTGCATCGACGTGAGAAAGATCGGCAGGAGAAAAGTATACAAATTTACTTAGTACAAACTGTATGTTGCACAGGACCCAAAGACATAAGGGCAAACATTTATGCCAGCTTAGACAGAGTAGTAAATTGTAAAAATATGACAACACAGAGCGACTTGGATTAGGGTAGTTAATGGGTTGAAGTGGCGAGGTGGTTTAACAAGGTTTGTAAGATTTCCTTCCGCGTCGATGTTCTATCTTTAAAGAAGGATAAGAAGATCAGAGTGATCTTGCCCTCAGCTAGGGCAACATAGTGAGACCCCGTTTCAGGAAACACACAAGAAAAAGAGCAGTGGCGCACACCTGTAATCCCAGCTACTTGGAAGCTGAGGCAAGAAGGTTGCAAGTTTCAGGTCTGCCTCGCAACTTGGAGATTCTGTCTCAAAGAAAAAAGAAAGGAAAGAAAGAAAGAAAAAGAAAGAAAGAAAGAAAAAGAAAGAAAGAAAGAGAGAGAGAGAGAGAGAGAGAGAAAGAAAGAAAGAAAGAAAGAAAGAAAAAGAAAGAAAGAAAGAAAGAAAGAAAGAAAGAAAGAAAGAAAGAAAGAAAGAAAGAAAGAAAGAAAGAAAGAGGGGGGAAGGGGGAGGAGGAGGGAAGGAGGGAGGGAGGAGGGAGGGAGAGAAAACGGAAAAAAAGAACGGAAAAAGAGGTGAGTGAGGAAAGGAAATACTAAACAAACGAAAGAATGGATAGCAATATATCAGGGACACAAGTACTGTTCTGGAGTTTATTTTTCAACTCGTTTTGAAATGCAGTTGCTTTGTGCATTGCATCTTGATAAACGGAAGAGGCGAGAGCACGCGCAAGCTCACCCCTTGCCAGATCCCCGCCGCTCTCCGTACTTTCTGCCACGCCCCCGAGCCTCGCCACGCCCCCCTCCCGCCTCCACTTCCGCTTCCCAGAAGCCGCAAGCGCTAGGGTTTCCGGGGCCGCCGCGTGGAGTGGCCTGTCAGGGTACTTTCAGCATGGCGGTGTTTTCTGGCCCCGCTGCGCCAATTCTGTCTCTGAACCCACAGGAGGAGGCCCAGTTTCAGAAGGAGGTGGCGCAGGTTCGGCATCGCGTGACCCAGGTGAGGCCTGGAAGGCGGCAGACCGGTGTCTCCCCGAACGTGCAGTTCCGGGCCAATGGGCGCCTTGCTTTCTCCACGGCCGCCCACTGTGTTGGCGACTGGGTGTGGGGCCGGCCTCTTGAGCTCGGAAGACTCCCAGAGAACCTGGACGCTGGTCGGTGGTGTTTGGCCAAGTTGGCTTTAAGATCTTAGCGTGGAAACAAGAGGGAGGTGTGGGCTGTCGCAGGTGGAAAGAGGGAACCGGCGGCGGCGGGGCGGGGGGCGGGGAGGATGGCGCCCCCAGGCCGCAAGTTAGTACCACGTTAGAGCCCTCGCGCTTCTGCCGTGCCCCTAAATAAGGGCTCAAGACCTAGTATTGGGTGCGCTTGTATTTCCCCTACTTGTCAAGCTCTTAAAAGACATATGTGGGGGCTGGGGATTTAGCTCAGCGGCCAAGCGCCTGCCTGGCAAGCGCAAAGTCGTGAGTTCGATTCCCGGTACCGGAAAAAAAAAAAAAAAAGACATACGAGAAGTTCCCTTTGCTCACTAGAGTTCCTGCCATTCGTTTATATTTTGTTTGGTGTTTATTAGGAAATACGCTGGACAACAAGTTTTTATTGCAAAGGGTGAGTGTGATAACATTGTGAAGGTTAACAGGCTTCTTGATATTTATTCGATTGGGTGTAAACCGTGATCTTCCTTAAGATTTAAAAGGCACGTATATGTGGAATTCTCCAGGCAAAAGACTTAGTGACATACTAAGGTTTATTTGCTTACCCGTTGACAACCAAACATACAGGTCTTGATCACCTACTCGGTGCTGATGCTGGGATGGGAGACTGAGAAGATGATTAATTGATGGTTGTCCTTGTGGGGAGACAGACACCAAACAGCTAATTCTAAAATTATGCTGAGTCTGGCATGGTGGCACACGCCTGTAATCCCAGCACTCGGGAGGCTGAGGCAGGAGGATCACTGTGAGTTCGAGGCGAACCTGGACTGCAAAGTGAGGTCAAGGCCAGCCTGACCTGCATAGTGAGACCCTGTCTCAAAAAGACAAAAAAAAAAAGAAAACAAACAAAAAATTATGCTGTGATAAGTAGAAATACTGGTGTGTTCTTGGACCAAGAGCTAGGGATTTTGAAAGTTCTACTGCATTGTGATTTCTGTATTTTTAAAATGTTCTTTTGTCAGAAAAAAAAGCAAGAAGAACTTAGACCTGGAGTAATCTTTGTGGGACACCTACCTCCTGTACTTTTTGAATCCCAAATCAAAGCATATTTCTCCCAGTTTGGCAGTATTACAAGATTCAGACTGTCCAGAAGTAAAAGGGTAAGATTTTTGTAAGCCAAACTTGATCGTTTTGTTTTACAAATGTGTATCATCAGTGAGGGTTGTTCACATACTATTGATTATCAGGCTTTGTTTGGGAAAGGAGTAGGGTAAGGTTTAGGGCCTGAAAGAGCATTAAAAGCAAAATCTGTATTTTTTTTTTCCTAAAAGAATGTCCTCAGACCCCCACGTTAAATTGACATTCCTAGTAAATGAATCATATTTATGCTGTGGCTGCCTAGGCCAGGGGTAAATGAACTTCAGTTTGAGCTCCAGGTCTATGCATTGTCTTGTACTAGCATTTGGCAGGAGTAACCCAATAAGACAAACATTTATGTAGTGATAGTTAAGGACTCGAGCAAGACTACCTCGATTGAGGCCCAGTTGTATAGCTACTAGTTGTGTGGCTATCTATGGATGAGTTTATGTGATCTCTCCATATTTCCATTTCAAAATCTGTAAAGCCTGTGTAAAAGTCACAGCACCAATTTTCTGGGAATATTTAGTCAAGCATTGAATTAGGCAGTAAGCTTAAGGTTCTTAAAACATTGCCTGCCACACAGGAAACACTATACGGATGTTAGTGTTTTACAGTACCTACCACTTTATTTAATTCCCCTATGCATTTATTGGCTGTAACCATGGATAGCTTATTGTTTGAATCTTGTTTTTCTAGTGAAGTTTACGACTTAACATACAGTACAGCAAAGTTAAATTTTTTATGTTTAATATAAATATGAGGGGATGAAGTATGTTTCTTTCATTGGCTACTTGTCCTGAAGCCACAGACTTCAGCTGGGCGCGCTGGTGCACACCTATAATTGTAGCATTCTGGAGGCTGGGGCAGGAGGAACACCCCAAGTCTGAGGCCAGCCAGGACTACCTACATAAGTTGAGACTCCGTCTCCCCCTACTCAAGGAAAAAAACAGGTTTTAAGTGGTAGGTTCTCTTAACATCCATTGAAGGGCATTTTAAATTTAAAATATTGGTATTTCTTCCATTCTAATCAAAATCGTATGTTTTCTCTTGGTTCCCTCCTTCCTTTCCCCATTTACCTATTTGTAGTGGTTGCTTCTAGTAACCGCTGGTAGCTACTCCCTACTCTCTCTGTTCTCTGTAGTAAATGAGAAAGTAAAGGTACAATCGGGGACCATTTTGTACTGTTCCACAGTCATCTTCACCTCCCCTTGCCCAGTTCAGTGCTTTATTGCTGTGTATGTTTTTAACTCTACCAAACATTTATATGTCTATGCTTGTTTCAAAATTATATCATATCATGTGTAACTTACCTTTTATATTCAATAACCTGTTTGGAACTTTATTCATGTAACTGGTGCATTCATTGGCATTGCTGTGTTCCTTTGCTTAATGTTTATCCACCCTCGTATTGAACATTAAGATTTTTCTACAGTTTTTTACTCTAAACTACTACAGACATTCTGTGTATAGTTGTAGACAAACTTTTCTAGAATAACATGTTTCAGACCTTGGTCTGCAGTAAGGAATAAGTTTCATAGCACAAGATAACATACATACTTATGTATGTAAATAAAGACCATATGAGGCAATAATTGTCTAATGTTTTTTGTTTTTGGGTTCTTTTGGTCTTTTTTTTTTGTGGTACTGGGGATCAAACTCATGACCTCACTCTTGCTAGGTAGGCGCTGTGCCACTGATCTGTATCCCTGGCCCTCTTTTGGTCTTTTTGAGGTTTCGCTATGTAGTTCAGGCTGGGCATGAATTCACTTTCTAACCCAGAATAGCCTCAAACTTGCAGTGATCCTCCTCCCTCAGCCTTCCAAGTGCTGGGATTACAGACATGTGCCACTGCTCCCAGCTTTGTCTATAATGATTTTGATTTTGTATTCTGTGCAGTTTTTAAAAAATGTTTCTCTGACTTACTAAATTGATTCTTTACCCCAAAAGGTACTCTGAGTTTGAAAAATGCTGCTCTGAGGCATATCCTCAGGTCCCTGAGTGTAAAATAAGCTGTGCTGCTTCTATCTGTGTTACTCTTAAGGAAGTTGAATATCATATGCAAAGTAGCTATTGGAATTCCTTCTCCTGTGAGTCACCTATTCAGATCTTTTGTCCTTTCTTACTGTCTTTGACAAAAACTTTTCTGTCTTTGGTAGGACCTTATTTTGTAAATGTTATAAATCTCTTAACAAGGACATTGTCTTACAGAAAAAGAATATAATAGTATATAATACATGGTCTTCACATTGCTTTGGTCTTTAGCTATTTTTTTGCATATCCATTCTGGGATCTTTTTTTTCTGCATCTTGCTATGTAGTGCAGGCTGACCTTGAACTCACTATGTAGCCTGGGCTGGCCTCCAACTCCCAGTGATCCTCCTGCCTCAGCCTCCCAAGTGCTGGGATCTGTTTAAGCGCATACATTGCACTTAGTTGTTAGAGCTCATTAGGCCGTTTTGCAGCAGTCTCCTTACCCTTTTCTGCCTAATGATTTAATTTTTCTTGACATTGCCTCTGGAAACTTTAGACCAGCTGTCCTACAGAAGCTCATTTATTGAGGCGATGCACTAACAGTTAACATTTCCAGCAATGTTGCATAGTAAAGCCTTCCCTGCTCCAGTTTGAACTATTAGCTTGGTATTTCCAGCATTCTAAGACTGCAGGGTACTGGTTAGTTGGAGGAGTTGTTTTTGACATGGCCTGTGTTTTTGAATCACTTTTCAAAAGATTTATATTAGTCTGTTAGTAGTGGGACATTGAGTTGGCTATCACATGTTTCTCCCACTGCATCTTTTCTCTTCCTTTTGAGAGTTGGGATTATAAGTGGATTTGGGGGCGTCTTTAATTTTTACCAAAATCCTCCTGAGTTAACTACACTGAGATTCAGAGTTGTGAATTGTCTAAGTTGGTTGATAGTGGCACAGCCGATGCTAGTAATGAGCTGCTTGGCTCTGAAACCATGTGACTTTAAGATGGTTTGGGGTTTTTTTTTTTTTTTTTTTTTTTGGTACCAGGAATCAAACTCAGGACCTTGTGCTTGCCAGGCAGGCACTGTGCCACTGAGCTATATCTCCAGCCCTAAGGGAGTTTCCTGTCTACAGAGTCACATCATAATTTCTATCCCACCCAAAAATGTTGCCATGACAACCCTTTGTACGTGCCCTGCAACCGCATGAGAGCGCCTATCATCCCCATTTGATGGAATAAAAAGCAGGCTTACACGTCACTTACCCATGTATCTAAGCACATGTCAAAGCCAGGACCCACATCTAGATGTTTGTGCTCCATTATCCATATACTTACCAAGAAGCTAGGTGAGAAAATCTACTCACTGTGTTGTTGCACTGTTCCTTTGCCCTGAGTTTTGAAGGTAGCCTGAGGTAACATGAAAATGATCCAGCTTCTGTTACTTTTTTTGTTTCTTCTTTGTTGTGGTTGTTTGAAATAGGGTTTCACTTGTGTAGTTCAGGCTGGCCTTGAATTCATCACTATGTAACCCAGGCTGAGCTCAAACTCCTGGTAATCCTACTTCAACTTTCTGGGTGCTGGAATTACAGTCATGCACTATCCTCCCTGGCTTCTTTTTACTTCTTACACATAAAGTGGGGGTTATACTAACCTGCACTTCTGTGTTATGAATACATGACCACTGGAACTGCCAGCAAAATCAGTAAAGATTTTCTTTATTGGATGGAATGTTGCAATCCAATAAATTCCCCACTCATAATGATCACATACTTATTATGCGTATTTTTGGGGGGCTTTTTCTCTCTTTCCCGTAAGGCTCTGGACTGCATAAGGTAAAGTTAGATTTAAAGATACCATAAAATTGCCAGACATATTGGTGCATGCTTGTAATTCCAGCACTTGGGAGGCTGAGGCAGGATTGTTGTAAGGGCTAATGTGCATTATTTAAATTAATGGCATTTTATGGTTTGATGGCTTGTTAGAATTTGTCAACTTTTTGTGGTGAATTTTCCATTGCAGACAGGAAATAGCAGAGGGTATGCCTTTGTGGAGTTTCAATCTGAAGATGTTGCCAAGATAGTGGCTGAAACGATGCACAACTACCTCTTCGGCGAAAGACTCCTAGTTTGTGAGTGCCCTTAGCTTACCAGTGGGGAAGTGTGGACCCCCATCTGACAGTGCCCAGAATGTAAAACACTGCTTTGCTGCCGCAGCTTTTCTACACAGGAACAGTGAGGAGTGAGTAGAGGAGCAGCATCAGATCAGAAATTAGCAAGGAAAGCCACTGACTTTGGGTTCCCCACGTATCTGTCTCTGGTTCTTCTCTGCCCTTGTCGGTTCCCAGGTCCCAGGCTCAAGTTAACAGGCTGACAGGGCTGCCAGCATGTCATCTCTACCACACTTCCTGGGAAAGACCAGTCTTAGGTTCATTCTCAAAGTCACGGCAGTTAGCATGGCACAGGGACACATGCCTATAATCCAAGCTACTCAGCAGGCTGAGGCAGGAGGTTCAAAACTTTACTATCATCCTGGGCAACATCTTAGAGAGACCCCTTCTCAAAAAGAAAAAAATTTTTTGAAGGGCAGAGGATGTAGCAAAGTGGTAGAATGTTTAGTATGCCAAGCCCCTGGGTTCAGTCCCCTTTACTGAAAAAACAAAACAGAAGAAACAGCTCTCGTCAGAAGGAAGTGCTGGGCAAGGCAACCTGAAAGGTGTCCACACACACACAAGCCAGATTGGTGCTGGACCCTGTCTGACTTGTGGAAAATAACTTCAGGTTCTGAACTGAGGGACTTGTTGCTTCTCAAGTATGAACTAGTTGCTCTCTTAGGACAGAATTGGCTTATCTGTTGCTCTAACCTGACATAAACCACGTCATTTCGATTAGGACACGAGAAATGGCACCAGGGAAATGTAAAGTTAACATGAAAAAATCCTCACTTACTCTCTGGTTAAAAGCTATTTTTCTTTTTAAAAATAGGTCGTTTTATGCCACCAGAAAAAGTACATAAAGATCTTTTTAAAGGTTGGCAAGTTCCATTTCATCATCCAGTATACCCCGCAGTGAAACGGTATAATCACAATCGGACACTGGTACAGAAGTTACGCATGGAAGATCGATTTAAGAAGAAAGAAAAATTACTCAGGAAGAAATTAATTGCGAAAGGAATTGATTATAATTTTCCTTCATTGGTTAAGTATTTCATCTTGAAACTTTGGGGTAGTTTTTCTTACATGTGAATTTTGTTGTTTTTTTTTTTTTTTTTGGTTTTTCTCCGGTACCGGGAACCGAACTCACGACCTTGCGCTTGCCAGGCAGGCGCTTTTGCCGCTGAGCTAAATCCCCAGCCCCTACATGTGAATTTTGTACTTTGCTAGTTAGTACATGTTTCTGTGTTTTTGTGGTGGTTTGTAAAGTAGTCCAGTGCTCATCAATATTTGGTCCACTGTGGGGCTTGGCAGTGTTGGGACCACGCCCAAGTCCTCTTGCATACTGAGCACACACCAGCCACACCCTCACCCCTAAATGCAAGTTTTTTACTAAGTTTTTGAAACATTGCGTTGGGAGTTCTTCCTAAAAACTTAAGAGATAATGCTATCTTTCCGTTATAGAGAAGAAACTAACTTTTATTGTTTTTAAGTTGCTAAAGTTAAGCCACTGTTTGACCAAAAGGTATAATGCTCTTAGATTAACATTTAAAGGTGACATTACCAGAACTAAAAAATGTATGGTTTACTGTGTGCTGTCAGTAAATATCAGGACTATAAGTTGATCCTTCTTATGGTACTCTAGTTATGTGTGGGTTTTTTGGTTTGTTTTTTTTTTTGTTTGCTTTTTCTTGGTTTTTTTTTTTGAGACAGGGTCTCACTATGCAGTTCAGACTGGTCTTGAACTCACTTTGTAGCCCAAGCTGGTTTTGAATTTGCTACTATCTTCCTGCCTCCTCCTCCCAAGTACTGGGATTACAGGCGGGCACCACCACACCCAGCTTTGTGTGTTTTACTATAATACCTGAGTGTGATCTTTCAGGATGTTAACATAGGAAAAAGTTTTATTTCTTAACTAAATCTTGAGATTGTTTTTGGACTTCATAGAACCTATAACCTTATTTCCAAAAGGCTGGTTAGTTGGTAAGTGATGAGCTCTTAACCCCTATCCAGAAGTTAAATGACTGAGTTAACTTCCTTTGGCCCACTTTTTGGTTGTTAACCCTTTATCAAACACAACCAGTCTTTAACTGTACTGGACCACTGTACTGACGTTAGGGAACTGGGACATTGAACCCTGAAAGTAAGCATACGAATATTTTTCCTGTACCGGTTTGTTGCTTAGTGGAAAAGCAGGCTGACTGCCAGGATTTTGAATTTGGCCAGAATGGGCCTGCAGGCTTATTTAGCCTTCATAACTTTCTGTTTGAGATTTTACCTGTGTGTGTGTGTGTGTGTGTGTGTGTGTGTGTGTGTGTGTGTGTGTGTGTGTTTGGGAGGTGGGGAGGTTCCAAACATTAATCTTCAGAAATCTACAAATTGCCAGGTGAAATTTCTGTTTATATACATGCACGACAAGAGGAAGGGCTGGGATGTTGCTCATTGGTAAAGCACTTACCTGGCATGGACAAAGCCTGGGTTTCATTACCAGCACTGAAAAGAGGGAAGAGGAATATAATCAAGACTACTGTAATTAATGAATATAGAAATTGTTAAAATCTTAAATTTATTTCAAGGTTTTGTCTACTAAGAAAAAAGAGGTTTCGGACAAAAAAGAGGTTTCCACCAAAAAGAAAAAGGCTTCAGGCATACCTAAGAAGAAGAAGAAAAGGGTTTCAGAGGACTCTCCGGTCACTCCCGACAAGACTGTGGACAGCCAGGTAAAACTGTCTCAATATTCTGGGTACAAGGTGTTGTAGAAATAATTTAAAGCAAGAAAAGCACTTTGTGCTATTGTCGTCTTGTTAAGATTTCAAATTGAATATCGTGACATTTTCGGTTGTCCTCAACTGGTAATTCAGCAACTTTCTACCTAAAACTTATAATTGAACATACTCCAATTAATGAATTTCCACACTAAATTTGGTAAGTGTGTAGGCTGATCATTTATCTGCAGTTGTGTCATCAGAAGACTGAAGTGGGCCTTAAATAACAGGAGGCAGCATGGAAAAACAGAAAGGCAGTAGTACTTTGGTGTAAAGCCATTCCTAATACTGTACCACAGTTGTGCGTTGTAATCCTCTGCTGGTTGATTCCAGAGTGCCACACCGGTCTGCACACCAACATTTTTGGAGAAACGAAAATCTGAAGTTGCTGAAATGAATGATGATAAAGATGATGAAATAGTCTTCAAAGAGCCTGTGTCCAGTGTAAAAGAGATACAAGAGACTCCAACGCCCACTCGTTCAGGAAAAAAAAGACAAAGGCGAAGGAAAAGCAAACAGTGATATGAATGTATTATGTGCAGCGTATCTTACCAAAAAATGTGATTTATTGTAAGGACTGACTACTGTGCTATACTGGATAAACCAACTCAAAGAATAACGGGACTTTCAAAGGAAAAATGTACTGGTTGTTCAAGGTCAGTAAGAGAAGCAGTCAGTAATTTTGGTTCGTCTGCCCTTGCTGACTGGTTGGGGTATACCACAGCCTGCAGTGGCTGAGCTTGCAGTGCCTTTGTCCCGCTCTCCTACTTTTCTGTTCATACTGTTTTTAGCACCCCTTTGTGTACCCTGCCTAAATATCACTATTAACTGCAGGTTTAAGTACTCAAGTGTTGTGGCCTTTTGCCACAAGCAAATAAAGATTGCTTGACCAACTGCATGGTTGTTGAGCATACTTAATTCCTAAAAGGTACTTTTGACTTCTGGTGGCTGAAGTCCTATAGGCAAGTGAGAAGGCAATCAAGTGTTAATGCAGATTCACAAATGATGCTTTTTACCAATGTCACATTAGTTCCTGGTGGGTTAGAATAGATACACAATTACTGTTTTCCATCACTGTCATCATGTGAGATTGCATTCACAGATTCCAGCAATCAAGAAGTGAACTTTTTCTACAACGATATGTATGCAGGGAGGATTTAGAAGCCTTGGGGAAAAATAGATTTCCTTCTCCCTTGTAAATTTCTCATACCCAAGGGGCTGGGGATTTAGCTCAGCGGCAAAGCGCCTGCCTGGCAAGCGCAAGGTTGTGAATTCGATTCCTGGTACTGGAAGAAAAACAAACAAAAAATAAATAAATAAATTTCTCGTACCCTGAGATATCCTTTTGCAAGAGCTAATCCAGATTTGTCAAAAGACATCCATCACCATCATGCATTTTTTTCATCAGTGTTTGTTAAATCTGTGATATGATAATGTACTGGAGTAGGTATTCTGGTGCAAAATGTTAAAACTAACATAAATTAATTTTTGAGTGTATACAAAGAACAGATACACCTGTGGAATCATTCTGGATACAGGATTTCAGTTTTTATTTGAATAAATGGGAAACAACTGCTCCCTTTTTATACTGTTGCAAGTTCAGGAAAAACACCAAAGTGGCATCGATATGTCTTTCAGGTTCAGTAGGAGAAAGGCTGAAATCTGAAGTAGAAGACACTCAGCCAATAAAATATTTCTGAAGGGTTTTCATTAAGCAATCTGACCTGAGCTACCCGAAAGTGCTTTTAGTTTTGGTCTGCAGTCAGTAGAACCCAGTGCCTTGCACATGCTGGGCAAGTATTCTACCACTGAGCAACACCCCAGCTGGTATACTATAAGTTCCATTGTACAAAATATAAGTTCCATTGTACTTAGTATAATATAAGTTCCCAAATCTCATTTTAATAATGAAAGGCTGTCCTTCAGGACAGCCAGCTGACTTCCATGTGATGGCTCTGCTGCAAAGTGCTGTGGTCCTTGCTCCACCATTAGGTCATTTCCACTTCCCATAGGCAGAAGTCATCACATGGCTGAAAGCCACCTAATTTACAGGTCACCCTATAGGACATGTGATTACGAAGTGTGTGGCCCACGGGCCAAGTCCAGCCAGCTACCTGTTTTGTTTCTCCATGAGAAATGATAGGCCACAGAATTTTAATGTTCATACATCAAGGTTTACCGGCCTGCTGCCACACACCTGCTTATTCACTGTGACCGCCATGTGCTTTAAGAGCTCAGCTGTGACAGACCAGATCACAGGTGGTTCTTTCTACCTCACACTGCTACTGAGTATACTACACACTGCAGCGTTGGCAACTTAACGCACTTGAGTGATGTATATTTGTCAGCTTTCCTGTCGCTGGAATGAAATACCCGACGCTCACAACTCAAACAGGTTTGCTTTTACTCACAGTGTGAAATGTTTCAGTCAGTTCAGCTGTCTCCGAGGCAGAAACCATGGTAGAAGGATGTGTCAGGGCAGAGCTGTTCAGGTCATGGTGTCCAAGAGACAGAGCACAGAGAGGAGCAGGCGAGGGGCCAGGGCACTCCCATGTGGCCACCCAGACACTCTCAAAGCAAAGTGTGCTTCACTAATGGGGTGGTGCTTGATTCAGTCAGTTACAGTCATCAGCTGTCACGTAGAACTATTGAGTGTAATGTATTTTATTTCCAAACTAGGAAGAGCATTGTGTTTATTTTGTGGTGACTCCACCAGTGCTAGAAGAATGTATGTTGACACAGCAGTTCACTCATCCGTAACTCCCAGCCCACAAGAAAGAAGAGAAAAGTTAGCTCCTTAACGTGGGATAGCTCAGTACCTAGTTTCTTTTTGTTTGGGGTTCTGTTTATTTTTTTGGTATTTTGTGTTTTATTATTCAGACAAACTATGTACAGGCTGGCCTCCAACTCACAGTGATACTCCTGCCTCATCCTCCCAGAGTGGCTAGGATTACAAATGTGCACCCCACACCTGACTACTGTAGTACCCAGTTGCTTGAGTTGTAAGTGAAAGTAAGCTTAGAGCGGCTTGTTAGCCAAGCACAGAAAGCTGATTTGATCCAAACAGCCAGAGAGTCTGAGAAAAACTCACAGCATTAGCCTTAAAGGTACAGTTGATGTCCCTCAGACAAAGGACTTCTATCTAGAACACATAAAGAATTTTGAAAAATCAGTCCCTCCAGATTCAAAGGCCCAATCCAAAAATGGGCATCTGAGATGAATCCACACTTCTGAGATGAAGAAACACAAAAGGCAAATAAATACATGAAAAAATGTTCAGCATCATTGGTCATTCGAGAAATGCTAACAACACTGAGATTCCATCTCACCCCAGAGAGAATGGCTATCATTAAGAAATCAACCAATAACAAATGCTGGAGGGGCTGTGGGGAGAAAGGAAACCTTCACTGCCGGTGAGAGTGTAGATGTACAACCACTGTGGAAATCCTTGTGGAGATTCCTCAAAAAACTTAGGATTAGAGGTCCCATTCTACCCTGCTATTCCCCTTCTGGGTATTTTTCCAGAAGAACTGGAAATATACCACAGCAGTATATGTGCAGCCATGTTTATAGCAGTGCAGTTTGTAATAGCTGAATCTTGGGAACACCCCAAATGCCCATCGACTGAGGAATGGATGAAAAAGATGTGGCGTTTTTATACAATGGAGTATTACTCAGCTATAAAGAAAGATAAACTTGAGGCTTTTATAGGTAAATGGTGCAGCTAGAGACCATACTCGTAAGTGAAATAAATCAGACCCACATGTGTAAAAATTGTATTGTCTCCCTAGTGTAAGAACCTCAAAGAGTAAATAAAATCTGAAAGGTACAATAGATACTGTGAAAGGGAAAGAAACTGCTCAAAAGGGAAGAACAACTGGGATGCGGGAAAGGAGAAAAGAAGAAAGGGAGAAAAGTATATATATATATGTATACACAAAATAGCTAAGATAATTGTGCTATAATTTCTATTGTTTTATTGGAAGGAACAGTTAATGTTTATTTTTTGACCAATTTTACATGCTTATATCTGGTAGTCTGAGCAGCTACTTTGAAGGCAACAGTGTTCAGTATAATAACCGTTGTTGAATTCCTGTCTTGCTTTTTGAAATTCTGTATCATTTCTAATATTTTTTACTATTTTTTATTCTATTTAAAATTTTTAAAAAAGGGACACAGTTGAAGAGTTAAGGAAACTGCATCAGTAGCCACATTGTAAAATAAGGCAAATGACTTTAAATGTTTTCCCTTGGTTCTGAAGGAGCTAACCGGTGTTAACCAATAGACAACAGTGGTAGAATCTGCCAGGAAGTGCCACAACTGCCCATAAAGATAAGTGTGTAGCAGAAAAGTTGTACTGGACAGATTGCTTATAAAAGTATAAGGTGTTTGGCAGTTGGATAGTTCAGCAGTCACAAGGTTTTATTGAAACTTTCTGAGTTTAGGGCCAAGATTTATAGTTTGAATGAGAAGCATCCTCCTTGATTACCTTCTGAAAAAGGAATGGCTTCAAGAATTAGCTTGTGCTACAGACTTAATGTTTCTAATAAATGTAGCTTAGAATTACAAGTCAGCACCAGTCAGAGTTGAAACTCCATCTTTTTTTTTTTCTCCCTGTGCTAGGGATTGAACCCAGAGCATTGACACTGAGCTATGTCCCCTGGCACACGTATATGCATGTATGTATGTATGTGTGACGGGATCTTGCTAAATTGCCCAGCCTGGGCTTGAATTTTTGATTTTCCTGCTTCAGCCTCCCAGTGCTGGGATTACAGAAGCCCAGCTTGTAAAGTCATTTTTGATGACCAATATTTGAATTACATACAATGTTAGGCTGCTTTTATATATTTCTTATGCTGTCAAAAGTTACAGTAAAGTGAAGGCAGATGTGATACACACCTGTAATCCAGTGCTGAGGAGGCTGAGGCAAGAGAATCACAAGTTCAAGGCTAGCCTGAACTACATAAAACAAACCTTATCTTTCTCTCAAAAAAAAAAGAAGCCACGTTAAAATGAGAGCCTTAAAATCTGCAAGGCATGGTGATACACACCTGTAATCCCAGCACTTGGGAGGCTGAGGCAGGGGGATCACTGAGTTTGAGCCCAGCCCGGGCTACATAGTGAGTTCAAGGCCAGCCTGAACTACGTAGGGAGACCCTGTCTCAAACAAAAAGGTCCACAAAATTTGTAGCAGATCTTGTCCAAACTATAGTTTCAGTAATTTTCAAGCCTCAGTAGCAAGTACAAAGAAAATTTTCCTATTTTGAAATCCATGTAACTATGGAATTGCAAAATTTCTACCTATCTTTTAGCTGTAATATGGTATGGTAGGAAATGGCAAGAGAAGGCATTAGAATTCTGCAAATGCCTTCTGAGTGAAGAATACACGCAGTAACCCCTGGAAATATCAGTAATGTGTGTGAAGACATGAGATAAAATACATAAAATCATTACAGACCAGCATCAACAGGCAAACATTTTGCAAGTGATTTTGATAAGAATTGATCAACAAAAATTAAAACATGAATCTTCATAACCTGTGGTTAGCCGAAGAGTTATTAGACAGATACCAAAAGCATGATCCTTTTTTCTGGTACCAGGAATCAAACAAACTCAGGACCTTGCACTTGCCGGGCGAGTGCTTGTGCCACTTAGCTGTATGCCTAGGGATCCATTTTTAAAGATTGATCAGCTTACTTAACTATGTGATTGCTGGATATGTCGCTTCTGTGATAATACATGCACTCAAGACTGGGTTCCATTCCAGCACAAGAAATAAAACTGGCCTGAGGAAAGATACTGCTTCAGATGAAAAACCGCAGACTAGGTGAAAATCTCTGCAAAGGACCTTTCATCCAGAATGGACCCCTTGATCAGCCCATGTCATAGGGAACCCAC